TAGATTTGTGGAACCTCTTCTATAGAAGAGGTTAAAACTGGCAGGAACCCACCCCTGGTCTGTTCCTGCCCAGTTTGTTATATGGAAGGGAGAGTGGGGTGTGTCAGGAGACAGATAAACCTAAGCTTCATGTAATGGGCTTAAAAATACTGCATGTATTATAAAATAAGGACAGAGTTGAGAATTTGTAAGCAACGGATGAAGGTGACTAATATATAATAAGTGCAAAATAAAGTACAGGTACATTTTTTTGAAAAAAATTAACACTTATTAAGTAAATAGCCTTTTAAGACTTTTCTCACTTTGCGAGGCTGCTACAAAACTAGGCAAGCTGGCAGGCAAGGGAGGTTTTGTCAACAAGGAGATGAATAGGAAAAGGAAGGGTAAGTAGGGGACTCTAGAGAAAAACCATGTTAATCTATGATTCTGGTTGCTTGCTTTGTTTTTGCTGTAGTCCTATGAATGGCAGGAATAGAAACTCAAAGCAAACTAGAATTAAGTCAGGACAATAATAAATTTATAATTACCCTGTGCCAATTTGCCATTATCAGCGTATCACAATTTTAAGGACACACTTTGTAGAACATAATGTAATCAAATTGGTTGGTCTAGGTAGGTTCAGGTGTATTAAAGCAAATATGCACACACACTAGAAAAAACCACCTTAAGGCTTAATATTATAGTCAAGTTCAGGCTTGTGTGAAATGCTTTGGTTGCTTAGCAGTGATGCCAAAAACTAAAGGGATATTTGAGACTTTTTAAATATAGTACTATTTATGTCAAATCAAATAATTTATTGTTCCATTTTATATCTCATCTCAAATATGTGACTCTGGGCAGCTCACATAAATTTAAAATGTTTTATTAAACACTAAACAATACCATTCAAGAAATAATATAAAAACCATATAAGAACTCCAGTAATGTGGTACATATGTTACATTTAAAACGACGCTTGCTTTCTGCTTTCCTAAACATGGTATTTCAAGATATAGAATTTTTATTCCTTCCAAATGCTGTTTGTGCAAGTATAGCTTGCCTTCTACCAGAAGGCTGAACATAGCAAATTGCCATGGGAAATCTTTCTACACAATTGCATTCCACCATGGTCCTATAGCGGTGAAGAATTACAACTTCAAAGCTTCTGGAGCGCTTTACACCTATGAGTAAATTTCAAATTAGGTATCTAATTTTTCACTCTCTCCTATAACAGGTAGTCCTCAACTTACAACAGTTCATTTAATGACCGATCAAAGTTACAATGGCATTGATAAAAGTGAGTTATGACTGTTTTTCGACCATTGCAACATCTCCATGGTCACATTATCAAAATTCACATGCTTTGCAACTGGTTCATATTTGTGACAATCACAGTGTCCTGAGGTCATGGGATTGGTCCCCTTTTGTAATCATCTGACAAGCAAGGTCAATGAGGAAATTAGATTCACTTATCAATTTACTACTTATTTATCAACTGCAGTGATTCACTTAGCTGTGCAAGAAAAGTCATAAATCGGGGGGAGGACGGGACTCACAACAAATGTTTCATTTAGCAACAGAAATTATGGGCTCAATTGTCATAAGTCAGAGACTACCTGTATAATTGTGTGTATGAATCATATTTAATGTCTACATCAGTCTGAAAAGCAGCACTGTACTTCTATTCCGGAATACTGTTATTGTTATTTACTTTGGTCCTATGGACTAATATATGTATCAAACTATATTTTTTCCATATAGCATACCTAGCAGAGGCTAATTATGCACCAGGATGGCCCAGATTTCATTCCATAAATACTTGTGTTCATAGGCAAAATATTAAAGTGAATAGAGACAGGACAGAAAGCATCCTGAGCAAGAAGTCAGGCAGAAAAACCGACTCACAATACAGTTAGGAACAAATAGAAAGTTAGTTTTGACCCAAAGCAAATTGCACCAGCAGCCACTTCTGGATATTTAGACGGAACAAAAGCATCAATCAGGACTTTGGGGAGGAAATGAAATGAGAGACTAATATTAAGGCGGAACAGTCCGCCACAACTCTTATTTACTAACTGTATATAACCAAATTAGTTGCACACCTATGTAAGCTTACAAACTCAGAATGAACAGCTTTGAGAAGGGGTCTCTACAGAGGACACAATTGTTTGAAGATAGTGTGTTACTGCCCTCTAGTGGTTATTTGCATGAGCTAACATTTCTGGAAATGTGCTACTTGTTCTAAAGAGGCAGCTGGACTTTCTGGTTTTCTTCAGTTCTGAAGAAGCTTCTTGAATAAGAAGCAAAACTTCTTCAAAGAAAACACATAAAGTCCAATTGCTTCTTGAAAAAACACTTTTGGGACAATCATGACCTGGATGACTGAGAATCACCATAGATACTTGCCGTAAAGATTCTGAAAAGGTGTCTAAAAGAAATAAATACTTCAGGTGAGTGATGTGAATGTATCCTGTATCCTGTTCATTATGCATAAGTTTAAGCCAAAATCATAAACATGTTATTCATAAAAACTATCAAAGCCAGAATCCTACCAAAAATCCATCTTTATTATTTCCAGTTATGAATCCATTCCTTGAATATAGAATGTTGCAACAGTAGACATTTCTGCTGTGTTCTGCTATTAAGATTTGAAGCACAATATATGCAAAACTGCAATATGCAACTTGGAATGTTGTCTTGAAATTCATTATAATGCAGTGAGAAAAAAATCAGTGACAGAACACATACAACTATACACAAATAAGAACATGTTTCCACTTACCCAATAATTATTCTGGGTTTTTTAAAAAAGAAGATCTTTTCCTGAAAGAAACAGCATTCAGGTTTTTCTATAGGTAGATTTGAAATATATGTTATATTCTGGAAAATAAGAACCAGCTTAATAAACAGAATAAATTTCTAAATTATACCTATTTCAGATATTTTCTTCTCCCAAGGGTAACCATTTGGCACAGCCCACTTTTAAAAATAAAAAAGCTACATACAAGCGATTTTAAATTAAACTAAAGACTGAACTACTAAGGAAGGCATCTAAATATATTAGCTCAGTGCTGATTACATTGTAGCACATTATTTAGTAATAACCTGACATCAATGTTGAAACATCCAATGCAAATTACAAATAATTGCTAACCTTTCATTGTACATCTCTGCAATATCAATGCAGAACTATTTCCCACCCAAGAAAGAAGCCTGTAACAACATACAACAGCGAACTCTGAGTCAATATACTGCCATAAAGAAGCACCTACGTATTTGATAAGGAAACCAATTATCTTCCGCTAGATTTATTCTTTTTGTTATCAAAGTTATCCCGTTAAAAAGATCACTGCTGAGAACAATACAATGCCATTGTATACAGAAGAATTTCAAACAACTATAAAAATGAGAGCATACCAGTAGCAATGGTAAACATACATCTGCAATAGGCAACATTTAAGTCTTGGGATTCGTAGCCACTGCTGCCTAATGCTTCTGGGACCAGCTCAGACAAAGCTGGTTTAGCTATTTGTGGAGATGTCTAAACTAATTTTAGATGACTCCCCTATGCTTAGCATCTGGGCATTACAAGACAAGGGACTAATTATTAATGAGAGCTTATGACCCTGCATAAACTTTGACAAATATACAAGAGCTGTGAAACCTGATACATTTAAATTATGAAGAAGCATAACAGTCTTGCACAGATATTGAAAAAACAATTTTAGAAGATACATTTACAGGGATACTAAGAAGTCACATTAGTAACCTTTGCATCATAAAATATAAATATATTTCCCAATGTTTCTTCATAATCTTCCACTCCATTTGCAACTGCAGAGAGTTCACAACTTGTATACAAAAGGAAACAAATGCAATAAGCAACAGTTAGAGAAACTTAAAATGACTCTTTCCATATATCAAGGAAATAACATTCTTTTTAAGGAAGGTGTCATTTTTTTTAATAATATAGTATGTTTGTTTAAACTAGGTTAAAATGTAACTTTCCCCTCTATTGATATTTTGTTTCTATATTACTATCTGTTTACATATTTACTAACACTTTGCAACCAATATCATAAAACTGATATAAAAAACTGCAGAGAATTATAGCTGATAAAAAATGCAATTAAAAATATATATGTCAACACTCCGTTAGCACAATTCAGAACAATTAGATTTATAAGTCTCTGTACAATAGAATCAAAGCAAAGTAGTCCTAATAGCAATAGCAGTTGGACTTATATACCAGCCCTCTCTAGGCGGTTTACAGAGTCAGCATATTAGCCCCAACAATCAAGGTCCTCCCCTAATAGTCACACTGGCTCCACAAGATCAACATTGTGACTACATATGAAGTTTTGCTTTTGAAGATGATACATTTATTGCTTCCTCAGTTTTGTTAAGTCGCTGCTTCATGCTTGGCTTCAAAATGCGACAGTCAACCTATAATCAAAAACATTTTATTCATAATCGTACTTCTTTTTTGATTCAAGGTGACATACAAATTAAAAGAAATAAAAAGACCGTTGGCTTACCTGAACGGTCGTTCTCAGGGCACTACGAGGAGAGTCCAAGCGTGGGTTAACACAGCCTATCTACCCTTGGACTGAGTGATGTTTTTCTGTTGACCACGCCTCCCTATGCCTCTGTATGCTCAGTTTGAAAACGAAGGAGACATTCCTGTAACCAGATACAGTCAGTACAGTCACAACAATCAAGGAATAATACCCCGGGCGGGATTGGACTCTCCTCGTAGTGCCCTGAGAATGACCGTTCAGGTAAGCCAACAGTCTTTCTCCAGTGCACTACTTGGAGAGTCCAAGCGTGGGACATGCCCAAGCTATTGAGTCCCAGGGTGGGGAAGCGCCGGAGCCTCAGGAACTTCAGCTACTCGCTGTAACACTCTTCTCCCAAAGGAGGCTTCAGCTGAGGCAAAGGTGTCAATTTTATACTTTTTAATGAAGGGGATGGGGGAAGCCCACGTGGCCGCCCTACAAATGTCCAGAATAGATGCCTGGGTTGCCCAGGCCGCAGAAGCTGCCACGCTTCTAGTAGAGTGTGCGGTGACCCGGCTCGGAGCCTTCTTGCCCTGGTGCTCATATGCCAGTTTGATGCAAGTGCGCAGCCAACGACCCACTGTGTGTGATGAGACTTTGTGGCCAAGGGACGCAGAAAGGAAGGAGATGAAAAACACCTCCGAACGGTGGAATTCCTTAGTCCTCTTTACATAAGCACGCACGGCATGTCTCACATCCAACGTATGCCATTCACGCTCCCTAGGGTGAGAAGGATTGGGACAGAAGTTGGGTAAAATAATCTCTTGAGTCCTGTGAAACAGAGAGTTAATTTTCGGAGTAAAGGACGGATCGAGTCTCAGAATGACTCTGTCGGGGTGAATCACGCAGAGGTCCTCCCTGACAGAAAGGGTTGCCAGCTCAGATACCCTGCGTGCTGACGTGATAGCCACCAAAAAAGCAGTCTTGATGGTTAGGTGGCGCAGGCTGGTCGTACGCAAAGGCTCGAAGGGAGGTTTCGTCAGAGCCTTCAGCACCAATGGGAGGTCCCATGATGGATAGCGGTGAATAGCCAGAGGACTGATGTTTGCAACACCCTTAAGAAAACTCTTGATCTGAGGGTGTTGACTCAGCGAACGCGAGGAGCCCCTGGCTAGGATGGTGGACAGCGCTGCAACCTGACGTCTAAATGTATTAACAGCCAGAGCTTTATCCAGACCCTCCTGCAAAAAGTCCAGGGTCTGAGGTATCGAGGCTGAAGAGTCCACAATGTCTCTAGCCTTGCACCACTGAGAGAAGACAGCCCAGGTGGCATCGTAGATCCTGGTAGTAGACAGTCTCCTGGACGCTTGTATCGTTTGAATGACCTGGTCAGAGAATTTCTGTTTCCTCAGGAGTTCCCCCTCAAGTGCCAAAAGGCTAGCTGCAGCCACTGGGGTTCCGGATGACAGACGGCCCCCTGGCTGAGGGAGATTTGGTCCTGAGGAATTCACCACGGTCTCTGAACTGAGAGACTGACCAGGTCTGCGTACCAGGGCCTTCGGGGCCAAAAGGGAGTCACCAGGAGGAGGTCTGCTCTTTCGGCCAGGAGCTTGTTCACCACCTGAGGAATGAGAGGCAGGGGAGAGAACGCATATAGCAGTCCCTGGGGCCACACGGACCTCAGTGCGTTCGTCCCCTCCGCCAGAGGTGAGTGGTAACGGCTGAAGAAGCGTGGGAGATGTGTGTTGGTGTGTGTGGCAAACAGGTCTACTTGCGGTTTGCCGAATCTCCTCACGATCTGCTGGAACAGGTCCGGATGCTGGCGCCACTCCGAGTGGTCAATGCATTGGCGGCTCAGCCAGTCTGCCTCTTGGTTGCTGGTGCCGGAGATGTGATCTGCACTGAGAGAGGCCAGATGACGTTCCGCCCACCTGCCCAGAGCCTCTGCCTCGAGCATCAGAGCCCTTGAGCAAGTGCCCCCCCTTTCTGTTTATATGGGCTTTGGTCACCACATTGTCTGTCATTAACAGTACGTGAGCCCCTTTCACGAGACTGGCAAACCTTCGCAGAGCGAGTCGGGCTGCCCTCAGTTCCAGCCAGTTGATGCTGTGGGCAGCCTCCCTCTGAGTCCACTGGCCTTAGGCAAGGTGACCCTGACAATGGGCGCCCCACCCTAGGAGACTGGTGTCCGTGGTGACAACTAGTCTTTCTGGCTCTTTGAACAAACAGCCCTTCTTGACTGCCTTGGTCAGTCCAGGTCAGAGATCGGATCACCTTTCGTGTGAGCCAAACGCGCCTGTGGGAGTTGCTGATCTTTGCCTTCTGCATTGGCAGCAGGAACCACTGCAGCTCCCTGGCATGGAGACGAGCCCAGGGAACCACTTTCAGGCACTATATCATTATCCCCAGGAGCTGGGACAGCTGGACGATTGGTACCGACCTGGTAAGGCTGCAGTGCTTCACTCTGTGTCTCAGGTTGGACAGCCGGTCTGGAGAAAGAAATACCTGGCAGGAGGTGGAGTTGATGACTGCACCCAGATGATGTATACAGGTGGACGGCCGGAACTGGCTCTTATCCATGTTGACAGAGAAGCCATGTTGCTGCAGCGTCTACACAGTTAGAGTGACATCGCGGTGTGCCTGCTCGGTGGTGAGAGAATGAATAATTATATCGTCCAAATAACATTCCAGACGAACCAGATGGTTGCGGAGGTGAGCCGCTAACACTGCCAGTATCTTGGTAAATGTTCTGGGCGCAGATGTATTGATAATGCTTCCCTTCCAAACAGAACCTCAGGAACCGCCTGTGGGCCACATGGATGGGGACATGCAGGTAGGCCTCTTTGAGATCTATTGATGTCAATAGGTCACCCTCCCTCACACAGTCCAGGATGGAGTGGAGTGACTGCATCTTGAACCTCTTGTAAGCCAGATGTTGATTCAGGCTCTTGAGGTCCAGGATGGCCCTCCACCCCCCTGTTGATCTCTGGGGCCTGGTTCTATCGCCTCTATCTGAAGGAGGTGGCGAACCTCTGCTCTCATGCGATCCCTCTTTTCTGGGATCCTGGGAGTGGGGCAATGGAGGAACTTCCTCTGAGGGAAGGTCAGAAAGTCCAGGACAAGGCCCCTTCGAATGGTGTTGAGGACCCACTTGTCCGATGTTATCTCTTCCCACCTGTCGGCATACAGCCGCAGCCGACCCCCAATGGGAAGACCCCTGTGATCGTCACTTCCCCTTACGAAAGGGGCGGGAGTTGCCACTATTATTTCCGCCTCCTCGGAATGGCTTCCGAAAGGAAGACTGGGAGTGATTAGCACGAGATCCGAAGGAGGATCTGTCCTGCTGTCTATCCCCCCTCTCCTGGCTGGAAGGACCTCCGGTAGGAGGAAGGGTGAGAAGATTGCCCTGAATTCTGGTTCCTGTAAGTACGCTTACGAAAGGATCCTGACCCTTTGCGTTCGCCCCTCTTAAGAGTTGCAGGAAGGATTTTACGTTTGTCTTTGGTCTCAGTGACAAACTTGTCCAGAGAATCTCCAAACAAAAGGCCTCTCTTGAAGGGAGCCGATGCCAGTTTCCATTTGACTTGACAGGAGACGGCGAGAAGTAATATTGGAGGGGAGGGCCCTTGATGTGAATTTTGCAGCTGTCAGAGAGGCATCCGCCGACTACTCAACAGCAGTGATTATTTTAGTGAGCTCATGGCGCCATCTGGACTTCCTGGGGGGCAGTTTAGACCTGAGCTGCCACAACCAAAATAAGGTAGCCCTGATAAAGAACGAGGCTGAGGTGGAGGCCTTAATGGCCCAGGCAGAAGCCATATGAGTTTTATAGCACGCCTTCTCCGACCTCTTGTCCTCCGCCTTCAGTCCCTCAAGGAGCTCAGCCGGTAGGTTTGAGTTGGAAGTTAGAGACACTACCGGGGCGTCCACTTCTGGGAACTTCAGGATGTCCTCCATCTTCCCTTCCAGGGCATAGAGAGACCTGTCCCCCCCACTGGGGTTGGTCAGTGTGTCCGGCTGTAGCCACTGGCGCTGAACCACATCCATAAAGAGGTCGGGAACAGGAATGACCTCAGGAGCTGAGACTGTTTCTTTAAACAGCCCATGTTTGTGGTCTTTGGATGTAGAAGCCTGAGCAGCCTCAGGTTGGAAGTGGGGCCTAGCTCCGTAGCCGTCATGGCCTTGTGCAGGATTGATTTAAATAGTGACGGCTTGAAAAGGCCAGTGAAGGCCGGCTTGTCAGGGGGGAGGTCTTCGTCTTCAGACAGAACGAAAATTTCTCCCTCCTCCTGCTCAGAGCTGGAAGAATCAGAATGAGATGAGCTGGATGAGCCAGAAGTAGAAGCAGGCTCTTTAGAAGTGGAAGCCTTGGGTTGGAGCTTCTGCTTGGGGGCCTTGGACTTGCGTGAACCCCTGTGCTTGATCCCTTCAGCTATCCCTTGGGAAATGGCCAAGGAGATCACCTCCCTCATCTCAGCTGAGAGAGCAGGCCTTTTACCCTTCTGTGGGCGTTGCTTGCTAGGCCTGCGGTGGCCAGCTCTGCCTGAGCTGGACTCACCCTCCTCACGCAGGGAATCCTGAACGGAGTCACGTTCCCCCCCCAATGGAAGAGCTAGGGGTATCAGGGTAACCCCAGGAAGCTTCAGGAGAGGGATCCCTGGATTTATATCCATTCCCAGAAGGGAATTCACTGTCCCCAGGGGATTGGGCCTCTTGACCAGGGGGTGAGATATCCCTGCTGCGATGGCCAGGGGTAGGTTCTGCCACCTGATGGGGCCTAGACACCTCCCTGGGTTCCACTGTGGCTCTTGCAGTCCCTGGGGAAGACCTGTCAATAGAGCCTCTGTGCCCTTTGCCTTTCTTAGTCGAGGGATCCAGCTTGCTGCGCTTGCTGGAGGGCCCTGCCTGCTCCTCTAAGGCCTCCCTGCAGTCCTCCGCCATGCTCAGGGCACCCATGGGGCCTGGAAGCTAGCTGGTGCTGGGATGGGCACACGTGCTGGCCAAAACGGCTCAAATGACGCTTGCAGACTCTTTAGGGGGGAAGGGCCGCCTGTAGGTCGGATTCCTTCCTCCCACCGCCCTCGGAGCCCCGAGACTTATCTTCTCCGGAGGGGAAGGCTAACCGGCTCCCCGGACTAGCCCCAAGCCTCCCTGCGGCAGTCTGCAGTCGCTGAGGGCCGAATGGAACTCTCCGTAGGCTGCCTGGAATCTTCGCTCTCCCACGAACCAAGCTGCCGAAGATCTTCGCTCTCCTACGAGCTGAGTGTCCTCCTCGCGCCTCAACCTCGTTCTGGAGCACTTCAAATGGCAGCAGGTGCGCGCGCAGCCTCCTCCCGCCACTTTTCGCCGCCTCAGAGAGAAAAGCGCGCGAAGCGACCAACTGTCGCCGCTGTTGCTGGGCAGAGTGGAAAACCGCCTTAGCCAGCGACGAAAAGGCCTGCAAAGCTCCCTGCATGGCGGTTGGGGATGAGAGCCTGGACTATGGCAGGGATGGCCTCCCACCGTCCCCACCGCTCGCCAGCAGCCGCTGGACAAGCGGTTCACAGTCCCCTGGAGCGCTTGCAACCAGATGATTCAGGGGAAGCCCGGTTGCCCTCTCAGCGCGACTCAAACCTTCATAGTAGCCAAATCAGACAATATCCCAAATATTCAGAGGTGAAACGTGGTCCAAAGTGGGAAAAGACACTCCAGCCTATCTGACCTCGGACTGGAGCACTCCCAAAACAGTCCCAACGGGTGGACTGAGTTTTCAAACTGAGCATACAGAGGCAAAGAGAGGCGTGATCAAGAGAAAAACATCACTCAGTCCAAGGGCAGATAGGCTGTGTTAACCCACGCTTGGACTCTCCGAGTAGTGCACTGGAGAATATAATAAATCTAAAGTAAGATAATTCATTTTTAAAAGCGAGCAATATAATTCAAGTCAAAGTAAAACCTCTACTAGCATCTTCACCATGCATTGAAACAGAATGGAAGCCAATGGAATGGGTGTGTGATTTATGTAATATTGTCAGCAATTGGGTTGTTACCTTAGTTTACATTATTTACAACTTCGTTGGCAGAATCATGAAGAATCCACAACAGTGGTCTAGATAGAAAATAATTAAGACAAGGATCAGAGTGGAAAGTTTTTCCTGAGTCTAGGACCAGTGCAACATGGATACCAGCTAAAAAAAGAGCAAAGGTTCGCTTAATAGCGCATCAAATCTATAGCCTAAAAAAACAATTGATGCAGAAGTTGTAAAATTGTATTTTCAGAAGAATTCAGTTCCTTTCAGAATAAGCAATATCTCTGGCCTATTAGTGTGTCTTCTGATGAACACCTTCAATTGGCCTGACCGAATCTCAGCTTATTAGTTTACTTCAATTCATCACAGCTTTCATACAATGAGTGATAGCACTGATAAAGACAGGGCTGGTTAACACAAGCATTGTGATGGCGTCTAACCCTAGAATTTTATATTGTCTGAAAATCAGTAGCCTTTGAATGCCAAAAGAAAGCCCTGAGGAACCATCAGCTAATCACAGGCATCAACAAAGTAATAAACTCAACATCTTCTAAAGTGCTGGGGAGCGGGAGGGAGGGCCGGGGAGAGCTGGAAGGTTAACTGCCGGAGTGTGTTTGCGGTAGTGAGCGTGGTCACCTCATGGCTGCTGCTGTGTTGCAATATATACGAGGAGGGCTTATTTTAGCACATGCGCTCAAAAGCCCAGTTGGGCTTATTATCTGGGGAGGTCTTATTTTTGGGAAAACATGGTAGTATTGTCAGCTTTAAGCTGGAAAGAAGTTGAAGTCATGTAATTTTCCACATAGCAACCACTTTGCTGAGCGAAAAAGATGACGGTCCCAATTGTGGTTACTAAATGATGGACTATCTGTATTAAACTTTACAGAGCATATAAAAAGCATCCGTCATCAAGCATCACAAAAAGGACTAGAGACGGGAAAATCCAACTCTCCTATTCAGAGCACTGTGAGAAAGTACAATAATTCTAGACTCTGAACTACCATTCCAAATCACTCAAGAGCTATGAACCCTTCCATATGTTCAATGTTTCATGGAATACAGTAAGAATAGAATTACAGCTGTGGTCATTAAGTTCTATCCTCGGATTAGCTATATAATATTTATCTCAATTTTTCATCCCCAGAATATTTTTTTCTCTACAGTATATGATTATGAATCTTAATTCAAATGAAAAAACACATATATATATTCTTAGCATCTATAGAGACAGAGATAGATAGATAGATAGATAGATAGATAGATAGATAGATAGATAGATAGATAGATAGATAGAGAGACATATATACATACATACATACATACATACATACATACATAAAGTATATGCATACCATTGGAGTATCTGGACTAGAAAATGGTGAAGCACCATAAGAACTGTTCTCTTTGTCAAATGAATCATCGCTTTGTGATGCAAATTTCTCTTTAAGAGCTTCTGCTATTAAAGCTGCTGGGTCCCATTGAGATGGCTTCATTTTATTTCTTTTGGGTAGAGGTGTACCCCCAGGAGATCTGGAGAAAGAAAAGCAGAACATTTGCAACTTCTAATGCAAGACATTGCTGTTGAAAAATTAAAACATGGGTTATATTTTCTAATCCGCTTTTGTTCTAATTTATACAGCATCCTCCTTTCTAAAAGATTTTTGATTGCCCTATAAACTGTAGCAATATTATACATGCTATTTTTCAGGCAGCTGTAGAGCAGTCAGTCTTCTGATGTTTAAACTGTGCTCGGCTACTTTTTATTCTTACAGGTACTTCTCATCTTACAACGCACAGCTGACCCTCAAATTTTTATCATGTCATTGCAGTCGTGAGTTACCATGTGACTGGAGTCGGTTTTACACTGGTTGTGAAGTGAATCACTTGTTTGTTAAATAAATCATGTGGTTGTATGTCCAAATCTAGCTCATCTAATAGGTGTTTTATGCTAGGAAATGGCAAAAAAAGGTCACAAAGTGAGTATGTGATTGCAAGACACTTTACCAGTCATAAATATAAGCTGGTTGCCAAGTGCCAATCATATGACCTTAAGGGTGGTACAGCAGTTCTAATTTCAAGGCCAGATTTTAAGTAGCTTCTTTCAAGTTTTTAGTAACTTCAAACAACCATTAAGCAACAAGTCATAAATCAAGGGCTGTACAGTTTGAAGCAAGACTCCTAACTCTTCCAAGTAAACCTATTCCAGAAAGGAGTATTCTTTGCAAGATTGAAATTTATTTATTACTTTTGTAAACTACTTATTCCCCAAGGACACCTGTCAATGTACAAGGACAATAGACAAGAACAAATTACAATAATCAAAGACATAAAAATGAAAGGCCTACAAACTAATGAAAACATAGAACAAAATCAAATTAACCAAACCAAGCTGTAATGAAACCAAGGCAGAATTGTGGCCTAAACAACCTGGAAAGTAGTCAGGGTGAGAACCAATTGCCCTTCCTAAGGACCAGGACAGTCAATGAAAGGCAGTGACAGAGTCTTGGGCGCCTTCATCCCTTTAAAGTGACACACACTATTTTTCTTGGTTAGGCTGGTTCTCATGGGAGAGTACAGATAACTAAGAACAGAGCCATGTACAATTTTATAAGTTTGTAACATCACTTTAAAAAAAATATTTTGTTCAACTTACTTCTCAATAGCTCTGAGTTTAACATTAGTTATATCCTTGAGAACATCCATCATATCAGGAATAGCTTTAACCTTCTGGAGTTCAGCCCTATCTTTAATCTTTTCAGTCTTTGTAGCCCGACGTTGTTTAATAAGTTGAACTGCCGAATTGTGGGAATCAAAATCAGATTTTAACCCAAACGAAGGTGGCAGTGGTGGAGGTGGAGGTATGAATACATTACAAAGAGAAGTAGGAGCTGGTGTAGAAAACATTCCTGGCTGCAGGAAACCATTAGGAGTGTTTGATGAAATCCCAATATCTGAACCTATTTACAATTGAAGACAGAAATAATATTAAAATAGGCACCTGCAGCATTGATGGATACATGTAAATAGCAGATAATGACTGCTTATTTTAGAAGTGCTACATTTGAAAGCCAGAAAGCATGGATAATCAGAAAGGAGCTAATGAAATCAAAAGAAAGGAAAGCAAGACCACACCAGACTGGCCTTCATACTAATTAATCACAAGGATCATTAGATAATTTTGATCCCATCTCTCACCCTGGGCTACATTTATTTAACATTCTTATTAATAACCAGCCGATAACCTGGCGTTGCCCAGGTATTTATTTATAAGGGGAAAATGTCCAGACCAAATGTAATTTCTAATGTTGGATTTCCCCCCTTACCAGAGGGAGCCCCCTTGTGGAGTACTGTGAAGCCAGCAAAAGCAACTTCTCCCTGAGCCCTGATTTCGGCAACAATTAAATTAGTTAAAAATGTTTTCCCTGTGCCCCCAGAAGCATAATTTCTAATGTTGAATTTTCCCCCTTACCAGAGGGAGCCCCCTTGTGGAGTACTGTGAAGCCAGCAAAAGCAACTTCTCCCTGAGCCCTGATTTTGGCAACAATTAAATTAGTTAAAAATGTTTTCCCTGTGCCCCCAGAAGCATAATTTCTAATGTTGGATTTTCCCCCTTACCAGAGGGAGCCCCCTTGTGGAGTACT